AATTCAGGAGATTATAAAAAAATCCTTCATTTTAAGGGAAGACCCTCTTGATTAAAGAGAAAACTCCAGTTTTTAAAAAAATGGCTGCTTATTAATTAATTGTTAATCAATCTATAAGACAAATCCAACTTCAGATTAATTCATTATCAATAACTTGCATTCTTAAGGAGTTAACTTAATTTATATCTACTCATATTCATGTAATTAAGTGTTTTAATGATTTGGCCGATTAATGGATTAATCGAAAAAATAATCAACCGATTAATCGATTATTAAAATAATCGTTAGTTGCAGCCCTACTGAGCAACATTTATGTTATTGTAGGAGAAACTTAATTAAGAGTTAAAGCAAAGATGATGTTTGAGAACCTAATGTTTTTGTGACCAAACATGTCAAATCAACTTCTTGAAGTGGCCGTCCGGTGGACCAGTCAAACAGCCTGATGATCGGGTCGAGACGGCAGGACGTCCAAACACCACTTCCCCCCGCACACAGGAAGCGAACCTGCTGCTCACTGCGATCCGACACCGAGAAGATTTGCTGCTCAGCAAATAAAAAACAATTATTATGGGGAGTTTAAGCACAGCACGTTCCAAACAATATATCAGAAAATATTTATTTTACTTCTTACCTCCACCTTCTTGCTATCAGCATCGACCACATGAACTTTGTTCCAGTAGCCCACCCACAGGCGCCCACCTTTTGCAAGGCAGCAGCGAATGGGCTGCAGAGGGTTTGTCCCTAGAGGCATCACAGAGTGGGCCTGCGGGTTCCAACCATCTGCAGAGCCAAACACTTTTCGTTTCATCACTTGTGTCACCACATGTCACTATATGATACATGCACAAATCAAATACCACACACTAAAGCTGACATCAGTTTTTTGTAATAAATATGAAAGCATTTTTGAAAAGACAACATGAATAACCTATTGTAAAAAAGGATCACACCACTGAGATGAACAGTTGAGATATTTGTATGTGAATTTACAGGAAGTGATGTCAAGAGGGAATCTCTGCATGTAAACAAGGTAATAATAAAATAGCTGACAACATAGACTGTAGAGAAGAATCTGATTGTCTTTAGATTATTTTGAGTCAGTATCACAGAGAAATGAAGTAGAGTAAAAGTTCAAATCATTTTGTTTCAATTAACAAAGACCAGGGAGTTCCCCTTTGACGTCACTTCCTGTTTCTCTTTGACTGAACCAGGTTCAGAAGAAAATATGACAGTTATGTAATAAAATAGGTTAAATCGTGTATTACGCCAAATTTCTTAAATATTGTTTTCTTTAACTTTTTGTATTTGAAGGATATGCATGTTGCAGACACTTTAAATCGATCAGTAGACTACAAAAATCAGGTCCTTTAACTAGTGCAAAAAGTCTGACACCTCAGATTAAAATGTTTTTGTTTTACACAGTTTAAATATTTTTTCTGCTGTTTGCAAACTTTTCAGTTTTTTGCTGTGTATCTGTCTGTTGCTGCAACAAAGAAATTTAAGATCAGAGAAAACAGAAAGTTCTCACCTGCAGTGTGTGAGAAAAATGCCAAAGTGCCATCAGCTAAACCTGCAACAACCTGACTGTTGGAATATCTGCAAGATGAAACCAACACAAAGTGGATCCTTTTTCACTGTGAAAAAACAAACATATTTATGTTTTAAATGAATCTGCAGACTGAACTCACGTGAGTGAATGAACGCCCTCAGACAGACACACTGACAGCAGACAACACCGTCTGTTTCCAGAGGCCGGGTGGATAAGAATACTGGGAGAGAAAAACAAAAAACGGATTTGTAAAAAAAGAAAATATATATATGTTAAGATGCATTCAGGAGTTCTGCTTTTTCAGCTGATTCTACCTTCCTTCCTGAGTTCCAATCCACACAGTGCCAGCAGATTTATCTGACAAAACAAACCCAAACACCGAAAATGCTGACTGTTAGTTACTGAGTGCTTCCGGTAAAACACTGGACGACTAACGAAGAACAAAAACATCAGGAAAGAAGTGGACTCCACTGAACTGGGACCGACCTATAGGAGGCACAGCACAGATGCAGAGAGCTGGGGCTGTGGGTGGGAGGCTGAACTGATCCAGCACCGTGTTGGGCCGTGCCGGGTCAATCACCGTGATGTCACTGCAGGAGGCGGGACCAGACAGCACCCACAACGAACACTGGCGGAGAAGAGCAGATAGAGTTTAGAAACATGACACGACTTGTTTTTTAAGGCGTTGTTGGCCATGACTGGAATCCAGGATAATCCCAGACTTACTGTGACGTCTCCTGAAATCTCAGGTGTAACTGCAGCAGCACAGTTGATCTGAAAGAGAAATGTGTAAAATTGGGAATGATTTTTAGCTGCACCACAGATTTACTGTGAAGTCACGTGAGTTTCTAAGTTTTGTCTGTGATGAAAACCTTGGCAGTGGAGTCTCTTTGATCCAACAGTCTGAGCTGCACTAGAACAGGCACATCTTTAGGTTCTGGTACAGGTTCACCAGACTCCTGCATTAAAAGAAACAAAACATTTCCTACCCTGCAGGGATAACCGTAACTACAAATAGTAGTTTTTACAGTTATTATGGTAACAAGTACGGATAAAAACAGCCTGGCATCACCTGAGTGTTTGCCAGTGGCATGCTCCAGCCATGGATGTGTCGCTTTCCCAGACTCCTCCAAACCTGAGAGCGTATTTCTCTGTAGAGTTCCCTCCTCCTGAACCGCGGTGAAGTAACAGTTGAAGCAGATCTAAACATAAATTGTCAGAAGCAGGCTTTTGAAACATCTTGAAAAAGAGTTGGGTGCTCAGTTTTCAACAGTCTTTCATGAAGATTAACTATAATCCTGGAGGTACTTTTAAACAGTCTTGCAAAGCATTTTTGAGATTTGTCTAAAAATGTCAAGACCATGTATCACCTTTACAGTTAAAACTATAACAAACCAAATTTAACCACATAATCAGGAACAGGTGCTCACTCAGTCTGGGTTCTGACAGATGGTAGATGTGGAGACTCCAGAGGAGAGCGGATGAATGAGGGGGAAGTCTGCCGGACCAACGAAGACGGAGGAGGACCTAGAGGCTCCTTGGACAAGCCGAACAAGCGGTTGAATCTGAATTTGAAAAGATTTAATAAAATTAAAACATTTTCTTTTTAAATACAAGTCCCGACTGATAAATTGACAGACGCTGCAGACTGAGCTCCAGTGAGAAGATCAGTCCCCAGTCGAGCCCAGGGAGGAGCTTTGTACAAATAAGTCGAGCTTTGTACCAGCAAGCATTTAGGCAGCTGGTCTCAGATGCGGGTTTGAAATAAGCATTTTAAAATGTTTTCAAAATAAGTCTGGCACTTTGGAGAAAATCCAAGACTCGCTGGAGGGATTATGTATCCCCTCTGGCCTGGGAACGTCTCGGAGTCCCCCAGGACAAGCTGGAAGGTGTCGCTGGGGAGACCGGGGTCTTTCTCCTGCTGCCCCCGCACCCGAAAGCAGATAAGCCGGCCGGACGGACAATTTATATTGTTAGTCTAAATTATTACATTTAAAATTATAACTCTAATTCAARCAGAATAGCCTATTGTCAACATAATTATGGAGTGTGATTTATTTTCAACTCAAAATATCTTCAAACTAATGAAATATAAAGTTATTAGTGAAGAAAACCCGTCTGGATAACAGCAGACTGACTGCTCGTAAAATATACGACAGGTCTGGACCACTCGTAAATTTTGTTCGTATCTGAAAAAAATCTTAGAATACGAAAACATTGGTGAATGCCACAAATTCTCCTAAATCACTCGTACGCACAACTTAAGAACAAATCTGTGCGTACGAACGGTTCTTGCATGAGGCCCATTGAGTGTATTTTTGACCAAGGGATGACATAACATGACATAAAGCTCAAAAACATTGATTTTGCATAAGACCCCTCCTTGAAAAAAAAGACCCTTAAGTGCCATTTGAAAGAAACCAAATATTTCTTTGTTGATACTTTAAAATTTTTTTTGAATAAATGGTCTATGAAATAAATAAAATAAAAATTAAATTAAATTAAATACACAGTACAAAAGATATAACTTGTAAGACAATTTTACCTTTTCCCCTCCAAACACAAAATAAAGTTCCTGTATTGAATCGTTTCACTATGTGCATGATTTACTGTAGTTTATCTGTTTTTACAACTCTTCATTATCTTGGAGCATTTTTACTGCTTGCTTTGACCTGAACCAAACTGACATTCAACTAAACTGCAGAGCTCTACAAGAACAGGATGGGGGATGTAACGTTATACCAAATGTCTTATAAACAGTTAATATTAGAAGTTAATTATAAGTTAAACTTACTTTCTCCAAACACTTGACCTTCTTTCCTCTGTAAACTTCTCCTCCTTGGTTGCTCTGTAAAAGCAGTTAAAGAACTAAGTGATACTTCAGAGACTAATGATTTAAAGAAACAGTCACAAAACTACCTCAGTGTCTGACTGTGTCTGACAGCCTCCTGCAGCTCAAACAGACGCTGTTTGTACTGGTTCTTCTCCATGACCACACGAGCCATTTCAGAACGAGAGAAGTGACGTGTGGATGTGGGCAAATCGGCCTGAGAGAGCAGACTGATTAAATATTTCACCTATCACACTGAAACCTAAAGAACTTTACAACCGTTCTACAGCTTTATATTGTAGAGTAGCTGCTTACATCTGGACCTTCAACCTGACACGATTCCACTTCTTTACGCAGTCTACGAAAAGCAGGACACAGAAACACAATAACAGGTTAAAACAAGTTGAAGAACTAAGAATTTGTAAAAACAAATGAAAAAAAATCTTCTGCACCTCTTAACCTCCTCGTCCCTCTCCTTCACCCGGCCCTCCAGTCGTGCCACGGCCTCCTGAAGTGTCGACACTTCTAGCATGAGAGCAGAGCAATCGTCGCTCAGCTCAACCACCCGGGAAATCAGAGCCTTACGCGCAGCTTCGACCATCTCACTGAGAGACAAAGAGACGAGGAATCACCATATTATTATTCTTATGAAAAATCTTTTACAAATATTTACAAAAAATGGACAATGTGATAAAAAATATCAGGCTAAATTAACATTTTTAGATTGTTTTTATTGGACAGAAACACCTGATTTGATTGTTATGTGTAAGATTAGAGTCAGAGTTTTGTAAAGAACTTTGGAAAATTTGAAAACCTGCTCCAGCTCTTTAAGAGATGATGGAAGCAGGGAGTTATTCCTTACTTCCATCCATCCATCCATTTTCTTCCGCCTATCCGGGGTCGGGTTGCGGGGGCAGCAGCTTCAGAAGGGAGGCCCAGACCTCCCTCTCCCCAGCCACTTCTTCCAGCTCCTCCGGGGG